TTTTCCAGCCGCCAGCAGGATGGAACAATTCGAGCAGCTGCTCACCTGCGCCATCTGCCTGGACCGCTACCGCAACCCCAAGCTGCTCCCCTGCCAGCACAGCTTCTGCATGGAGCCCTGCCTGGAGGGCCTGGTGGACTACGTGCGGCGCCAGGTAGGCCACTCGCCCCGCCCCCTGGGGCACCGCCCCTCACTCTCCCCCGTTCCAGGTCAAGTGCCCCGAGTGCCGCGCGGAGCACCGCATCCCCTACCAGGGCATCCAGGGCTTCCCCACCAACGTGACGCTGCAGCGCTTCCTCGAGCTGCACATCGAGATCACCGGGGAGCTTCCGGACCCCACCAGCGGCCAAGTGATGGAGCGCTGCAACGTCTGCTCGGAGAAGGCCTACTGCAGCTTCTGCCACCACTGCGACAAGAAGGTGTGCGAGGAGTGCAAGGGCGCCCACATGGAGATCCTGCGCAGGGAGATCGCGCGCATCAACAACCAGGTGCGCAGAGGCATCCACCGGCTGCAGGACAGCCTCCACCTGGTGGAGAAGAACACGCAGCACATCCAGACCAACTGTCTGTCGGTCAGCGAGGAGATCGAGGAGATCTACCGGCGCCTCAACAAGGCGCTGAAGGACCGCACGGAGCACCTGCGCGGCGAGATCGAGCGCTACCTCAGCACGGAGCTGCGCAGCCTCACCGGCCTCAAGGAGAACCTGGGCCAGGAGATCGCCAACATCCTCAGCAACTGCGACCTGGCCGACAAGCACATGAGCGAGAGCGCGGACATCTGGGACGACTGCGAGCTGATGGACACCAAGGAGATCTTCCTGAAGACCATCGAGTTCATCCGCAACTTCGAGTACGAGAACGCCGACTACTCGCGCAGGCTGCGCCTGGTGCTGGCGCACGACCCCAACCAGCTGGTGCTGCACGTGGCGGGCTACGGCGACCTCAGCGTGGCCAACCCCAACAGCCCCTTCGCGCAGGGCGGCGCGGGGCTGCTGCAGCCCCCGGGGCCCGGCCTCATGCGCTCCAAGAGCGACCACCGCCTGGCCTTCCGGCAGCCCGAGCACGAGCGCTACGGCGAGGCGGAGGCGGAGCCCCCACTGAGCGGGCGCAAGTTCGGCGAGCGGCCGGCGAAGGCGCACAGCTACGGGAGAGGCGCGGGAGAGTATGGGGGAGAGGAGCACGAGCACGAGGGCCCGCGCGCCGCCCGCTCCAAGTACAGCAGCCGGTTCAGGAGGCGCAACACGGAGGAGGAGTCGGACGCGGAGGGCCGCGGGGTGCGGTTCCACGAGCAGAAGAGGGAGGAGCGGGAGCGGCCGCTGGACACGGAGGACGTGACCCGGGGGCCGCTGAGCGGGATCACGCGGCTGGCGGACTCGCCCAGGGTGATGAAGAAGCTGCAAGAGAACCCGACGGGCAAGAAGGAGAAAAAGGAGAAAAAGGCGGCGCCCGAGCCGGCGGCGGCCAAGCGGGCGCCGCCGCCCGCGGCGCGCCAAGCGAGCGAGGAGGACGAGATCGCAAAGATTAAGCGCCAGAACAAGGGGGCGACCACCTCCGCGGACGTGGAGGCGCCGCCCGCCGAAGACCGACAGCGGAAGACGCCCGCCCCCGAGGTGAGTCTGGATGAGTAGCCCTCTAAGTGCCTGATTTAGCCTAGTTTGTAGTAGAATAATTGCTTGCCCCGCCCACACGACACATTGGCATGCTTGTTCTCCCCCAACTCTCCTCACTCCATGTCGATTGGCCCTCCCAGCAAGCGCGAGCACGTCTTTGCCAGGTACTTTGTGCATACTGTGTGTGTTTGTGATGCTCCCCGTCCCCTTGGGGGCGCTCGCCTGATGATGACGGGAAATCGAAACGTTTCAGATGGGTTCTATACTGTTGAGGCGGACTGTTCGGGCATTTTATTGCCAACTTCTTTTTGGGTGYTTCGCCTCAAARATTGTTGTCTTTTATTACAGATTGATAAACRGTTYTSTTAYT